CCAAAATATATGTATGTATATATGTATATGTATGTATATATATATATATATGTATGTATATATATATATATGTATATATATATAATATTTGTCCTCCGCAAAATTACAATCTTTGTCCTTGAAGCATAGCGATTGTGAATGCAACTGTTACAACAAGCATACTAGAAAATAAATAAGGAACTTATTTCCAACATAGCAAATTTGAGTAATTATTTATTATTGTATAATTTACCTAGAAAAACTTTTGCTAATTAATTTTTACCAGATAGCACCCCTCTGTTGAAAAATTACCAAGGGTTTTATTTTTTATTTTTTAATGAATGAACAAATATATCTTTATTTTTTTAGCTTTGTTACACAGCTACGATGGATTTGTTTGAGTATGAATCCCAAAATGAATTGAACAAAAACAAGTTGGTCTGGTTTGTTCATCTCCTAAACCATTTCTTTTTTTCTTTCTCGTCCGTTGCAAATAGACTCCTTTGTCACCCCTCATGCCTCTCATTCTCACGAGGAGGTGAGGTGCAAGAGGATGAAAAAGAGGTGAAGAAGATAGAGGTGGAGTTAGAGAAAGAGATGAAGGTAGGAGGAGGCTGAACTGGTTCACTAATCCAAACCAGAGAATTTTGAAAAAAAAACATTGATTGGAATAGGAGAGTGGGATCGAAATTTAGGAAAACGAATGTCTGGATAATTTCTCAATAGAAGGTGTCACGTGCTAAAAACTAAGTAGTAGAGAGTTTTGCCCTTCGTTATTTACACCTCACGTTGATGCATGCAATCTAATGGAATACCTCGCAAAAATCTTTTTTAGCAGACGTTGTAACAGCCGTCATTTCAAATTATATATAACCGGATCGTTACTTCTCATACTAAATAGCATGAACCCGATATATTCGATAAACTACGTCTCTAAAACCTGTAAAATTATTCGATCATAAACTCAAATAAAAAAAATATGATAATATTCAAACCATGGTATGCAGTACCGAATGGTACCACCCGGTACGGGCGATACGTACCGATCCGACGACATACCAGTACGCGGATCGTCCGGTACCGAACGAAACGTGCTAATACGGTACGGTATTGCATACCTTGATTCAAACAACAAATTAGAGAATGTTTGAAAGAATTTATCAAGATAAAGGAATCAATGTTATTAGTCTCTTTGATATTCCTTCTTTCATTTCAAAATCAATATCTTAATGGTTATTATAAGGTCGGTAACATTACACAACTCGAGGGATAAATAAGTAGGGGACAAGATAAGTAGATAAAGGAACTGACAATTTATTTTAAGACTGTTACATGATAAAACAAATTTCCACAATCTCAATCGTGTCTATATCAACTGGGTAAGGACATCCTTCTTTTGTCATTATTATGCACTTGGCACTTAGCCCTCAGCAAAGCTCAATCGGATCCATGTAGCATACAATTAGGAACCAAGGCGGCAACTTGTAGCATATCTGAACATCTAGCAAACAGAAATTGAGTATACTGATAAACAAGTTCCCAAAACTCATTCAGCAATGATGATTAAGGAATAATGATGACAAACATTGAAAGGAAAATTGTCTGACTTCATTAGTTTCATTTTGCAGTTTGCATGTTACAGATGAAGCAAGTTTTCACCAAACCAATGGATACCAAGTACTTCTACAGAAAATGCCAATAAGCAAATTGAAAGTATAAGTTGTACTACAATTCACATTTTCCTCCCAAACAATTTTCATGTAAAAGACATGCTTAGCTTGGTGGTTCTCGATTTTTTATTAGAGAAATCAAGCCTAAGTCCAGAATGTGAAGCTTCGCAAGGGCATTAAATCATTGCAGGTGTCATGCCAGTTAGCTATAGGGAGGCCAAAATAGAGCTTCTTCCAACAGCAGGCGCTCATTATCAAGTAAAGACCTGACAAATAAAATATCACATTTCTTCCTGCAACTTCTAGCCAGCAATAATCTCATTATCAAGTGATACCACTTTTGCACACTGGACATGATGTCTTTCTTCGCAGCCATTGGTCAATGCACTATTACCAAATAGCAGCATCAGCTATATAACATTATTCTTAATAGGAAAGGAAAGATGTAGTAGTACAAAAATTCCTTACATCTTTGTGGAATTTATGTAAGCATGGTAAATGTCTAATGATATCTCCAATAGATGGTTTCTCAAGACAGACAGCACACTCTTCAATAGTATCAGCCTGTAGAAAAAGCAATATTACAAAAGGATTATTAAAGTTGCAGGGAGCATGACAGAGAATTAACTTTGACAATTCACTGAAAATTGAATTTACAAAGAAATCTACACCTGGACTGTCGATTGTGGTAAATTGTTGATTTGGTTTTCTGAAGCACCAGAATGTTGATGGTTGTTTTCATCAAGGGCCAACAACGTCTCATAGTCATTTCTAGAAGGAAAAAATTAAGTATTACAATCAAGTCATATGCTAAACAATGCTAATGACGGTCCCAAGCCCGGATGAAAAAGGTGGAGGGTTGTGTTAGGTCACTAACAACCAGCGTAAAACTATATCAGATCTCATGAATATGAATCTTAACTGATCTCAATAACAGCAAAATATCTATGTAGCCGATCCCAAATAATTAAGATTTATGATTTTATTGTTATTGTTGTAATCGAGTCATATGCTAATTGTCCAAGTGCCATTGGTGAATATATATTTACCTAACACCACTGAACATGCATTTTCCCCTAGGATCTTATTAAATTTTCCTGTACATAGTTACAGATTTACTCTGGTGTCTAAATGCTGCCTTGAAGAATCTAAGTGCTTCTGCTCCAAACACAGAGTTAATCTAGTTCCAGTGCATTTGAATGACCCTAACCTATTCTGTTACATTGGTGCTTCCTTGTCCAATCTCATTACAGATTCTTGTACAATACTAGCCATGTGAACATTCAAGATAGTGTTAATTGACTTTCAATCAGGAAACAAATTGCACTTGGAAGGTATAAAAAATTGCACAACAGGGGCAAAAATACATACTCATCAAAGTCCCGTTGAATGTGAAGAATATTAGTTGTGTAACTAATACTATTCATTCCAGCGTCTAGTTCATCAAGTAAGTCAGACCTCTGCAATTTATGAAAGAACATATCATAGCTGGCAAGGAGAAGATGTGATGTAACCCCTTATTATTCAACAATGAAAAAGAATAATGAACAACTTCAATGATTCTATAATTATGAATTTAGAAGATGCTATAAAGGAACACCTTTGTAGAAACCTGAACAACAAATGACAGAATTGGAAGAACAAAAGTTAATATAGTGACAGAACTTTCCTGTTTTCCTGACAAGATTCTTACTAATAAACTGGTAGGCTTTCTTCAATGGATAAGACATTAATACTAAAAGCCATAGCATATTTCTGGATCGGACAGCTACAAAGCTGTATGTCTGATTGCTATAATTTGCATGTTTTTACTAGCCACGTTTTTCAGAAGAGGAAACACTGAACTAAATTGTAAACAGTCCATACAGACTTTAGGAGGTGAATTACCTCTCCAAAAAACACACTAACCAATTAAAGGAACATATTCTAACATTTACTTATTTTATGATTGATCCGTTTGGAGGAAGGATTTGATGATCTTGATCCTTCCTCCAAGCGGATTCATGCTTCATGGGAGGCTTGATAGAGGCACCAAAAGAAGAGAGAACACAGAAAATTATCTAGATTGCCTTTTGAAAAGGTATACCTAAACCAAGGTATACAGTTTCGAATAATACCGCCCGTATCGAACGGTATGTACCGAGTTGACCGGTACACAGACCGCCCGTTACCGGACGATATATATATATATATATAGTACCGTATCATACTGAAACGCTGGTACGATACGATATTTCAAACCTTGATCTAAACACATAACTATGAAAAGGACTTTGTAAGCAACAACTCGGACTTCTCAGGCAAAAGCTTGGACTTCTTGAGGCTGCAGCTTGCTGGTGATTCCCTCTTTATTTCATCCTCTCTCTAGGTTATTGCAGCCTCCATCTCTTCTGTGTTTTCTAGGGCTGTCGACCCTCTTTATAGTTGTAGTGGGGAAGGCTCCTAGACGACTCTCAATTGTCATCTAACTCTTAGTCCTACATAGGGGACTCCTATTCAGTGGTCTTCTAAATTTGAGTCCAACTCAAAATGAACTTTGATCATCACGGATTGTGCATAGCTAGCCATCAACTATAAGAATCGAGATTCTCCATAAATTAGCAAAGTGAAGTGTATAGAACTATATAACTTATAAAGTCTTTTAGTAAAAAAACCTTAAAGACTAAACATATATTATTCACTAAAAAATAACTTTTAAAATTATGTTATATGTGCAAACTATTTATCTTTCATAAAAAAATTAGTCTCCATTGTTCAAATCAAGGTCTGAAATTTCGTATCGTACCAGAGTTTCGACGATCGCTCGGTACGGTACGGAATGGTATACCTTTCCGTATATATATATATATATATATATATATATATATATATATATATATATATATAATTTATTTAAAAGCCGACGTCGCATCGCCGAGGCGACTCGACGTCGCCTCGTTTATTTAAATTTTATATATATATATATATATATACATATATATATATATATATATACATACATATATATATATATACATACATATATATTATTTTATTATTATTATTCGTTCCGCCCGTTAACGGACGGTCCGTGTACCGATTTACTGTTGGATCGGTACATACCGCCCGTACCAGACGGTATTATTCGGTATTGCTTACCTTGGTTCGAATAAATAGTCAGGCTATCTGGCCAACAACTTTAAAGAAGCAGTTTAGAAGTCTACCACAAAGTCAAATAGCTCCAAAAGCTATATAGATAGGAAAGGACGTCACATCAATAAGTAACAAAAGACTCAAGGATTAAGACTCTCTGTGTTCTTCTCATCTATCTGCTCTCTTGCTCATCTTACCATCCCCCTTGTTGCCTGTGCAGAAGAAACACCAGGTGCAGAAAGCATAGGCCATCATAACAAGCTCCCTAATGTCATTCTCTTCTCTTTTCTTCTTCCCTGCCTCTGATGGATGCAAAGAGGTTACTGTTGCTTGCCACTACTTTCCACCCTTTTGGCAGCTGCTACTATGAGTCACAAGAGACAGAAAAGAAGGGAAAGGCCATAAATGACTTTGAAAACAAGTGGGATAGCAACACCAATTTCAAGACCAAGAATTCATAAAGGTCTCTGTCATTATACCAAGATGGACTCTAGAAAACATATGATGTTGACCCATGATCCCACTCTGCAAAATCTGTATGTTCCCACCTACATTGGCAGAGTGATGTTCATGAGTTAGTGCACCATCTTACAGTACCTACAGAAAGTCCATGTTAATTGACTCACTTGGTCCCCGGGTATATTTATCAATAATACTCATCCTTTATTCTAGGGAACCTCTACCCAATCTGAGTTCTATTATCAACCCTTATGTCAGTTAGCTGAACACAAACTATTGTACGTTACAGTCACCTCATTTGATAATAGCATGATACATCATATGACATACAACCAGTATATCAAACACACGTGACATTGACCTTGATATTGTAACCATGCATGTAGGTTTTAGGCCATTAGGCTAATGTCATACTGATCTTTGTAAGTTACAGTCACCTCATTTGACAATAGCATGAGAGACATGACATACGACCAGTATACCAAAACACACTGTGACAATGACCTTGATGTTGTTAGAAACTATGCATGTAGGTTTTAGGCCATTAGGCTAATGTCATACTGATCTTTGTATGTTACAGTCACCTCATTTGACAATAGCACAATACATTATATGACATATAACCAGTATTCCAAAACACACGTGACATTGACCTTGATGTTGTTAGTAACCATGCATGTAGGTTTTAGGTCATTAGGCTAATGTCATACTGATCTGACACTTGATGGATCACGTATTATACTTGTATTATCATGTTATATCAATAATTGAGTTTAATACTTGAGCTTTTGTGTTCTTTCATTAACTGGGTTCTTATTATGGTCATGATATTTATCATGCATGTGTTCTTGATGTATTAAATTATGTGTTCGCACCTATTCTTAAGACTCACCAAAACATAAAAAAGCCATAAAATCATTTTTATAATATATCCATGAAGTACGGTATGTTGAACCGAGCAATATGCTAGGGTGTACCGAGCAATACGCATATATATATATATATATATATATATATATATATATATATATATATATATATATATATATATATATATATATATATATATATATATAATATAAAAAATATTTAGGCGTACGTAACCTCGGCGACGCCGCCTCCTCCTCTTCTCCTTGTCGCCTCGTCTATGGCATTCGACGAAGAAGGCGGTAGAGACGCCGAAGGCCACAGACGTCTTTGGCCTTCGACAAAGAATGCGGCCAAGAAGAAGGCCGCAGAGTCGCAAACGAGGCAATGAAGGAGACCGCCTCTTTCGCTGCTTTAGCAGCCACCTCCCATGATCCTCGCGCCCCCAAATCCTCCTCTTTACGACTCTCCTCGCCTTTACCTCCCGGATCGAGATCGTCGAGGGAGAGCGACGCCGAATCAAGATTGAGAAAGGGCATGGAAACAAGTTCGCGCCGAGGTTCTCCTAATTCACCCTTTTCTTCTCCCTCTTCTTCGAATGTCCTCTCCTTCTTCCTTCTTCGATGCTTCTCCCTCAACCTCGCCGCAATCAGGCCACTATATCGAGCGGACCGCCCAATAGCAGGCAGTCCGCATACCGGTTCACAGGTGGGTTGGTAAGTACCGCCCAAACCGAGCAATACGATTCGAAATCGCAAACCTTGGATCAAACCAACATTTCCAGCAACCATGCTGAGTGTCAGTGTAGTATGATAGCAGAATAGCACAGTCCAAGCTAAAGCTAGCATATAGTAGGGACCAAGACTTGATTCCTTACTCTACTACAACAATAACAATAAAGCCGTAAAGTCCCAACCATTTAGAGTCGAGTCACCTAATGATTATAAATTGGTGTAGCTAGATCTAAAGCCTTGTCAGTGTCATTCTTGGTCATCAATCTGATGTGGTGAAAATGACCTGACCCAATCTGTTTTCTGAATATTGTCACAACTAAGAACCAAATGCCCCTGGGAATGACCTGGCTGGCTGCTCCTTCATACCTCATTCCCTTGATAGTGGACTCCTCAGATTCATAGTTGTACATCCTTTTATGATAAAAAAAACTTTTCATAGGAACATGAACAGTCTATTTATAACAATTAGTTGTACATCCTTTTAGTGCACATAAGATAATAACATATACTCTATAACCTCTAGAATCGAGTTTAATAATAACTAATAAGCAAACAACAAACAGTACTAATCAGAAATCCATCACAGATGAGGCAATAGAACCAATTGTAGAAGAAATCACAGTCTCGAATACAGATTTCAGAAAGAATCGTTATTGGACCATATGAACCGGAACTAATCAGTACTTAATTTTTTTTTCAGTTGTACCAGGTGGTACGGATCAGTATATGCCTGATACACCAATACCATACCAGTCCAGCAGATTACTAAAACCAGTACCGGATCTAGATTTAAAACCTTGACAGAAATAAAGGTGTTTGATGGCTTAATATCTCAGTCTGGTATTCGGTCATCAAGTGGACTATTATGGTATTGGTATAAAAAAGCAATAATCAGCTAGTAACAACTAGTATCATTAAAATAAAAAAATAAATTTTAAAATATTGACTATATGTTTTGATACCAAAACTTAGCCAGTTCAGAAAAAACCAGTCCACACCGAATGATTCGGCCGAGGTTTGACTTTTCAGACCCTGCAACTCACAAGTACAAAAAAAAAAGTATATCAAAGCAGAATTCCAACAAATATGTCCCTCGTCCAAGGATAGAAATCTAAGATCAAAATAGCAATGAAAATGGGATCAAGAATGATATTATGAATGCCTCCACCGAAGCGTAGAATGAAAAATATAACATAAATTTTCTTTTGATGTGTTCACTGCTTTTCTGTACTAACGAATGACCTAGGCAAAACTTATTTATTGTCATAGTATATGAGCATACTATCTGCTGGAGTATGATTCCCTAGTCTTCAAGTGTTCCACTAGACCATTTATACTTCTTTACATCTTCTAATATTTAATCCCTCACATCCAACCATACTCTATGAGCAGAATTCTTGATGTTTTCCCCCTCATTTGTCTTAGTTCAAAATCATTCCAACACTAGGTAGCCAGAAGAAAATCAGATATGGGTTGCGGTGCAATGAGGCATTAAGAAAGCAACAAGGTCTAAAATAAAATGCCATGAAGCATTCATGTACACGTAAATGCTTCAAATATCAACGAAAAGAAGAAAATGACAGGACCACATGTTCTACACAAACAAAAATTCTATACAAACAAAAGGACTACATGTTTAACTCTCACCTGTCTTTTCTACCAGCATAATTACTAAAGAGCAACATGAGGCCAATGTGCAGCACAAATGATCTATTACATCTCTTTAATCTTTATAGTAAGAATTGAGGTAAGTAAACAAAGGCAATAATAGATTTGCAATTATGGATATATTTTTAAAAGAGATACAACTTACAAAACTCAACCAGACCCATGACCATGGACTGCAAATTCATCGGGAACAGTATGGTATGCATGGTACAGATAATACATACGATCGAGGGCTAACCAAAACCAGGACCAGCCCTTTTCAGACGAAACACATGATATATGAGGCAAACCGATTGGTACACCTCAAATACTTCCTGATACCATCAAAATTCAATCACTATTGATCAATACAGGTCGGTAAGTGTTGAAATCCTTTGGGAGCTCTTTAAGGCTTATATAAGCCCCTCCCTACCCTCTCATTCACTTCCACTCACTCTCAATCTCACTCTTTCTCTCAATTTGAAGCCTAGAGGCTTTGGCATGCTCAATCTCCCAAATCAGCAATTAGTGGAGATTGATTTAGATAAAAGAGAGATTCAAACTCAAGATCTGTTAGAACTTGTCTTTTTTTGAATTTATCTACTTTCTGCCTATGTTTTTTCATCATTTCATGTAATTAGACTAAAGAATATTAGTAAATCTTGATTGATTGGGAACTAATGATTGATTAAGACCCAATTAGAGGTATTTAAGAAAAAAATAGCCTAGATTGACCATGCATCAACTTCTTGCATGACTTATTAAGTTATGCTATCATGTTCAATGGCCAATTAATGCTTATTAATACATGGTTAGGTAGATTAAGTGCATTGAAGTTCTAATGAGTGGTAATTAAGGAAAATAAACTCATTGCACCATGTTTCCACTTGTTAAATGATTTCATAGCTCATTCTACCATGTATTACAACAAATTGGAGGCTTATTGTCACATGATTGAGAAAAATAATCATAATTACGGCTTAGTTAGAGTCACTTTCTTACTTTCAGACCCAATTAGGGGTAATTAAATGGAAAGGAAAGGTAGAGACAGCAGACAACTTTAAGCAAATGCAACAAAGCCACTACGATATCGGCACTAGGATTTTATCATATTCATAACCTTCATATTGCGAAGGATCCCAAGACCAAGAATATTCGCAACCTTCATATTCAGAAGGATCTCATGGCCAACAAGTATATGGTGATAGTTGGTCAGTTTTTATGAGTTAGATCGTTCTAAAGTCATGAAGCCATAGGTCAGTGACAGAAGTCACAGTTTTAGTGCACTCCAAACTCTACAGCATATATACCACAATCATACTTACCCCATCCATGTTCCAATGAGGCAATGATTTTTATCATGTTGATGCACCAACTACACATGGTTTATCAATATAACCTGTCAAGGGAACAGTTCCAAGATTAAGTCTGAGAAATCTACCATATCAACATACAACCTCAAAGTATCAAGGTCTACAATCCAACGACCATGGAGTCGCATCATTCAATATGATGGTAGAAGCACGTACATACGAATGTTATCTTAATATTTTATTTTGCTCAAATATTATAGTTTTGACATCTAATCCAACATCTCAACTCTTTTCATTATGGATCAATGGAAGCAACTTTCTTGAACAGAGGATTATGCAACAAGGTTCTTTGATGGATAGAAAAAGATCAGAATTTCTATTTTTCGCTCCTTATAGCCTAGATTTTCTATTGATTTATGGCTTAGATATATTTATTCCTATTTAATTTCAATTTATATACCAAAAAAATGGAGGAAAAAAACCTGAAATATAATTTTTTGTTTTTGGCTGATTTTTCAGCCTTTTTCCAAATTACCAGTATGTACCGATGTACCAACCAGGTTGTATGTAACGGTCTTCCCATGGACTAGCATGCACGGTTGCTACAAAATTTGCTTCCTTGCCCATGTCCGTCATCATCTCTCTCACCTATCGGATCAGTACAGTAGAAGTATAGAAAGTATACTGGTGATTCCCTAAATTGTCAGTGATTTTTCCCTTTTTCCATCCTACATTATGCTAGGGCAACCTAACAGTCAGTATAATATGTCAGCATGGTGGGTACCGTTCAAGCTTTTAAAAACTAGGAAGCTTATACATACATCGATTTTGTTGAATAATAAATTTAAAGTGTTTAAGAAACCTATAAAGGACAATCTTGAAGACATGTATTTACCATATTAACATCCATTTCGGGAAAGTCAACATATCTCATCCATGGTGCAGATCTCATTGATAATCCATATTGAGCAGTATTTACTGACTGGGGCAAGTAATTCCCAGGTAGTTGTTGAGAATGCAGACGTGTAATTAACCTGTCCCTCTAAGCAAGATAGATAAAGGAGGAGTTAGTTTACAAAGATAAAAAAGTCGCTACAAATATGAACAAGGCAAATGTAAGTAGCATTAGTCATAAGAATATGTTGCAATTAACTATTTAATTAAATCACCTTAAAAATGAGAAAGCATCATAAAGTAGGTAATGATAACATTATTCTCTAGCAAAGCAGAATGACATTTGACAAGCAACAGTTATCATAAAATCCAATTTCCTCCCGGAGTAACAAAATAGGAAATTTGAATGAGCTTCTGTGAAGCATGATTCTGAAAAATAAATGTCAACAGGGATGTAAATATAACTAAATTTTGGACCCAAATCATCATTTAATGTAAATTATATCATTATGAATGAGCATGCAAGAAAACTAATATTTCAAGGATTGCCTTAGCATAGGGAGTCTATGGAATGACCTTCAAGTTGGTCATGCAAACCCCTTTTATATGTGGATGTAAATCACTGGAAAGCATTGTTCTTGTGTCCTTGTCCTGCCTATGTGGATCAACAATTTCAGCATAACAACCAATGTGACAACTAATATTCATAACAATCTTAAACTACCAGTGTATCTTTAGTTGGCTCACCCAACATAAGTTATTTTTGTAGTGTTAGCTGGATTTGCAGATCCAACACCTCAGCCCTGTGTGGACACAATAAGATGGGCAGACACACCTCAGCACACATGATATGTGGCCTGAGTCAACTGTACATGGAAATCAATGTGACTCAACTGAATGTGGACAATTTAGGAAGATTCTTGGTTGATTTCAACTGATGTCACGCCAGAAGAGGAGAGAAGAAAAAGAACAGAAGAAAGAGCAGTAGCAGCAGGCCTGCTGCAGTAAAAGCCACTAACTGCCACTATGACGAGAAAAACAGGAATGTGAGATTAAATGATGTGATTGGCCCCACTGATTGGAGTAACATCGGAATACAATCATGTGATAGCCTGTGTAGTCTTAATGGATTTAACTCTCTACCATCACTTTTTGAAAAATAACTAATCTTTAAGTTTAGCCTAATTTATTATATATATAGTGATTTTCACTAATAAAATGGTCCATCGCCTACTTGTACATGATATCTTTTTATGTTTTTTGTATTATGTAATCAAAATATCTTGAATCCTATTCTTTTGCACTTGCCACATTGAAGATCAGATACATGTAACTTTCCTGATTTTAGCTAAGAGGAGAAAACAATCAAATTGAAAAGTCCAACCACAATCCTTCATTCCCATGACAACCTTGTTGGGATAATAGACAACTCAGTGACAGCGGGTCTTTGAAACTAGTTGCCCACCACAAAGAAGGCTAAAAAACAATTTAGGACTTGGCCGAGACTGCATCATTATTTTAAGTCTTAACATCTGAGGTGTCAACTCAAGCAATATAGGAGCATCAAGAACGTGATTTCCAGTCATGAACTGCCATTTTTGTTGGAACTAATTTGGGCACATGGAACAGGCACTCCAGTTCAAGGCCTCTGTCGATTAACTTCCAGTTGCTCCACGTACACAGATCCTGCATGATGCTGCACTATGAGAAGTCATGTCATTTTCCTTATTTAGTTTACTCCGGTACCCAATCATTAACAGAAATTCACTTCCCTAGCACTGAGAATACAACAATTGAACAAGATCAAAATGATGCACATGAATTTGATTGTTCGACCAATCATGATAAGCTTACATGAACAGCAATAAGAAACTGCATCCCATGGCCCAATATTCCATATCAGGTGAATTGAAGAAATTTAAAATTTAAATTCTGGTTGGCTAATGACTATCATGTTCATGCTTATCAATGTCAAGAGGCCAGCAAAGTCAGGTTCTATGCATGGTTGGGAGTTAAAATTGGACCATTTGAAGAGAACTCTGAGTCTGAGGGAAGTTTGTCACCGAATGCATAGCCCACATACTTCGGGCTCCATAAAAAGAAAAGAAAAAGACCCCTCCAAACAAGTGGAAGTTACCATGCAACTAGCACAACCCTGGTTTTGCTATAGGATGCTCAAGGTCAGAATCAAATGCAAGCAAACTATATAGTATTGGGTTAGTTATGAAATTCCTTGCATTTTACTGAATTGGGTTGCACATACAAAGCTAAAATAAATTGCAAAATACTTATTTTGTGATGCAAACTCTAATCCCTTTCCATTTATAATTAGATAGGTTTCTTTTCAAGTTATTGAAAATCTACAGTCCCATGTCAAGCTGGGATGCCTATGGAACAAAGAACCAAAAAGACCTTTCACTATTTCAGAGAAAGGGTCATTAGCTTAGCTACATGTAACCAGAGAATTCACTTGAGTTCAAGTTATAGGTCACAGGACATTAGAAAACCCACTTACACGATTACGTTGAGTTTGCCATGAAGGTAAAGACATAGGCCGAGCATTCTCCTCTTGCTGCAAGGACCATGCTATTGATGCATCAATCTGTTCAGAAATAGAATTGCAAGCATTACATATAAATAACTACATACAAATGAAATATGGCTTAACAGGAAAAAAATTTCCAATTAACAACTAGAACAGAAAAAAGTAAGTATTACACCCAACAAGAGTTTACATAGAAATAATAGACTAACCTCCTCCCTGTTTCTGATTCCTGGTGATTCATTATAAAGCTGCTCTTGAAGTTGCTGAGCGAATAACTCATCTGACTCAACCCGCCTAGTCATTGCATTGCAACTATCAAAAATACTATGACTTTGTTCTTGAAGATTACTAGATCTTGCTTCCGGTGAATGCAGCTCATCAACTTCTATAACTGATCCCAAAATAATACCACGTTCATGAGGATTATGAGTTTTAGTCGATCTCGATTTTGAGAATCGCCAATCAAGAACTGAACTAGAGCTTTCACCATTAAAATTACTAGATGAACCATATTTCCGCTTCCTATCTGTATGCTTTTTTCTTCTGCTTTCCAGGTCTGACTCAGAAGAAGGTCTTTCTGTGATTAAATTTGTTTCAAGCAATGCAAATGATTCAGAATTATCAAGTAAAATTTTAAAATGATTACCAGTTCCTATTGCAACTACATTACTCTGATCAGATTGGTGACCAGAGGCTTCGCTCTCACATATGTTAGCAGTCTTAAATGATGACACTGTAGATTCCTTTTCTCTCCAACCTTCTGTCTTCCTTCCTTGATCTTCAAAGCCCAAAACATCAGTGTTGCTATCTCCATAAATAGCTACATCTTTCCTAGAATCCAGCCTGTCATTAATATATCCTTGAAAGCTTTAGTCATGAGATTGGTCTCGGAATTAAATTGTCATACTAGAATAATGCAAGATATTTTTGGCTATTTTGATGTCACGGAAGGAATCTTGTGTGAGAATTTCAAATAAAAAGGTATCAGATAAATATATCAATATTTATTCTTTCAAATGGTTTTGCACCAACACATATGATGGAAAATCATCTAGCATTGTATGTGAAGAATGTTAGACATGTCATTAAAATTTTTGGTTGCCAAGTATTAGCTATTGTCATCATAGCAACTACAAATAGATGCTAAGAGGACATAAGTACCTTTTCCAATCACTGATAAGCTAGAAAAGTGAAAAGTAAATAGAAAGAAAAGGATAACATCTATAAAGCTGAAAACTGTCCTCGAATCAATTAGAGTGGTATATAACTGAACTGGTAACTGGTTAAAATAAACTTTTGGGACAGAAACTATTTCCACATGAGAATTTTAGAAACAAGAGATGCATACTTGAAGGACATTTACATGAAAATATCATAACAATAAAAAATAAAAATCTATATTGATGAATTAGTTGGTGTTTCTCGAATTGCTCTTTACTAGGTTCATGGTTTTTATGTACCGGTCAGAGCTTCAACTGGTACAGTACCAGTCCTGCCAGTGTACCAAGTGTTGGTACACTGGTGCCAACTGAATTTTGAAAGTAGTCTAAAAAAGGCTGAAAGAAATTGCTCTAAAAAAATGCTGAAAAAATTGCTAAGTACAGTGCCTGTACCATCCTATATCGGGCGGCACCAACTCGGTACTGGGCAGTGCAAGGCCTATACTGCCCAACCTACACTAGTTCATGTACTGATAACCTGGTAGACTGATAATTACTGCCTGTATTTGTACATACCGAGCAATATTGAAAACCTTGACTAGGAACAAACAGAAGAAATATGAAATAGAAAAAACATAAGACTGACAAAAGGAGAGTGTCAAAATAAATTTGTTATAGCCTTTGGAAATCACAAGGTCAAGGAAAGTCACATTCAATTCTTCTTCCAATACAAACTATACTACTACTAAAACTTACTTTGAAAGGATGGATGCATGTGGGTCTTTATAAGGAAAACTTTAATAGCATTTGGTAAGGCTTAACATCTCGGTTTGATATTGGGTTCGACACCTTATCAGGCAGTACCTGTATTATCTTGTATCAATAAAAAAATGAATACCCATCGACCAAGCTACTTGGTCCAGTATCCTTTTTTGGTCAGACTAGTAAACACCAATTGTTATGTAACAATCTAACTGACACTTGAAACCTTAGGATTAGATGAGGTAGCATGTAATGCTTAAATCAAGGGGACTAAATTTAGATCATCATGTGGAGAAAGTTTTGAAATTATGAAATGGAAAATGTATTTGCCTGTTTTTCTAGAATATATAAGATGCCATTAGAACCTTAAGAGATTAACATACATTAAAAATGGAAAAAAGGAAGAGAATTGGATATACATTCGATGGAAACTATATAAACTTTTAATTCAAATTCATCACAACTCTATGTACCATTTTCGATCGAGAATTTGTCAATATGACTTGAGAATACTTAAAGTAGCTCTAATTAAGGTGGGAAAGATTGTGTTTGCTAATGAAAAGGTTTTGTCACAGTCAGATTTCAGAATTGACTTGGGTATTCTGAATTGGACCTTGTGATAGAAGAATGTGTTTTGGATTTGACTGAACAAAAATTGGATTTGGGTCCTGAGTTAGATTCAGACATTATGGTGTGTCATATTGGCAGTGCATTTGGATCATGAGTTGGATTAAATTATATTTGGGTATGGACTTTAAATTAAATGGATCTGCACTTCAGGTTGGAATTCAACGAAATTAGGTTTTTTATGGATTTGGCAGCTAGAGGCAGTTGGTTAACTTAGTTATGGTTTAGCTTAAATGAGATGCTTGGTTTAATGAGTTGAGACGAAATGATTACAAAATGGCTCTAGATTAAGTCAACATGATCTATTTTGGGGAGTTTCTCCCAAAATAATTCAACTTCAACTTTACAATCACAGCAAGATCAAGATCTTAGCAGATTCTAATATATGGATTTATATCCTATCCAAAGTATATAACTAATAGATTTACTTGTGATTTGGATCATGATGGGTGCACGAAATTGTACAATGGTAAGGTTATATGAACCAAAATAATATAATTATTAAGAGTTGTTGAACTACAAACTATGGTTCATTTATAAATGTGCATGTACAATCAACAGATCTCAATAGTGGCAAAAGATCCATGTAATCAATTCCAAATATTTGGGACTTCATTGCTTTGATATTGTTGTTATTGTTGTTGTTATAGCATGTACATTCAACATCATATAATCTTCATCCCAATGGAAAAAAAAAAACTGAACGCCAAAAGTAATCAGGATAATGGAGCAAACTTGTGAGAAAGCTTCATCACCATTGACATTATATTTCTGAAAGCATCTTGATTTCTTTCCCTTCAATCATATTTCCATATAATTTCTAAAAAAAGCATTAACAAATATAGCTATACCATATCTTGTATTTTGGGTTAAATTAGGAACGTAGAAAGTAGACAAACCTCATAACGTATAGGTTTTAAATTAAATTTGACTAAACTAAATATATGAAATATAATTTTGGTAATACTAAGAGGACAACGGAGGATATAGTTAGGATCGAAGGACAAGAAATAAGGAAAAATTTTAAGGCACCTCTAATCTAATAATCAACAAAATGAAAAGATTGATAGAGATCTTATTCATAATGTAAAAGTCAGGTAGCTATTGTAGAAAGGAACATCGAGGAGTCTTGTATGATATCAAGATCCCATTAGATTAAAAAACCATGCTCTGTAAATCCTAGTGTTTGACGGTTAATAAAGATTTGCAAAAGAAAATCATATAGCTGAGATGAGAATATTAAGGTAGATGTGCTAAAAATAGAAATAGTAAAAAATATTCTTATTTGTAAACAATTAGGTATAGCTCCAATAATAGACATGATGAGGAGTCATTTAAGGTGGTACAAACATATTCAAAGCACACTTATAGATGTCAAGATTAGATGACACGACTCAATTAACATTAGTGGTACAATGAAATTGAACTAAAAAATATTTTCTAGAAATAAAAATGATTCAGATGATTCTAATTGACTATATATTATTTTTCATAAAGGTCAATAGTAAAACAAACAAATTCATATACCGAAACCCAAATAGTTGCAACATCATGGCGTGTTGTTGGTCATTTGCAAACACTGTATACCACATATAAGCAATCATGGGAACTTACCTGCTCAATGGAAAATTAGCTTTACCATGTTGCCCATTTGTCATTGTATAAATATCAGTTTTTGCTTTCCCTTTCCCTTTCTTGACATCATCACTTCTGCCTCTAGAATCAGGATTGACATTGTGTATTTGATTTGATGTCCTATTAGGCTTTGGCACTCTTCCGAACTCTATCTCCATCAGTTCATCCTCTATTGGCTGTTTTGAACTCCCTGAACTGTTATGGGAGATGCAAACATTTCTCACCAGCTTTCTCTGGCTTACTTTGGGTTGCAAATCATCCAATATATCTATTCCCTGTAATTTATCTTGATCACTAATTCTAGCAAACGAAGAACATTTCTGTCCACCAGATGTCTTTCCATTCTGACAGTTAACCTCAGATTCATTACTGACCCTTGCTATGTTATAAGGAGAGATACAGCCATTCCGAACTAACCTTCTCAGCCCCCTAGGTCTCTGAGGAACAACAGTTTGTATTACACTTGCTAGATCCTGATGAGATTCGGAATGTACCCCACTACATGAATCAACTCCTTTTCCCTTGTCTCTGAATTTCATATCAGCACAAGCATTCTGCAAACTTAAATTGTCTTTATCAGATATAACCATTCCAATCTGACTCCGTCCATGCCCAACTGACATAGAAGGAAGTGATGATCCCATACCAAGTAATGCACTGCTTCCATAGCTTCTAAGTACCCCACTGTTTTCACTTAGCAATCCTTTCCCTCTCTTCCTCTTAGCATCCTCACATATTGCACCATTTAGTAAGGTAAGTGTGTCATGATTCAAGTCAGTTCTTTTCACCCTCTCCTTGTTGTCCATGGAAACCGCACTTTTACCAACTTCAAATGAAGTGCCGAGCAAAGGTTTCATATTCACTGTTTCAGACATTGATTTGCCCGGGGTAGATAGGATCTTATCAGCAAGAGTTGTACTTCTAGTACTATCATATCTTTCACCAGTATCCTTCAGATTCAGATGTTTAGAATTCCTCCTTTGTAAAAGATGCTTGATACCTTGGCTTGGTGACAATGGATCAACTTCTACATTGATATTCTCATTCTGGAATGAACTGCCAGATGACTTGTTAGCCAACTGTGCCAGTCTGTCAGGAGTGTCAGGTACTTCCATGACCAGATCAGGTTCCATCTTATGAATGTCAACCAGGAAAGCAGAAATTATTGGTTTCCTCTGACAAAGTGGTAATCTCACATCGGGGATCAACAATTTGATATTCTCTTTGTTCCCAGACCAAGATTGAGAGATCAGTAAACTTTATCGCAAGATATTAAAGGAAACCTTATGCAGATATAGTAGGCTTTTCCAAAACCTAAAATATCTAGATGGAGCAGATAGATATCATGAAAAAGAAATTCCAGAAATCCACAAATCATAACAAGACCAGAAATATATATATATATGGAAAAAGAGAAGAAATAATAATCCTGCGGACCCTAGGAAAAAAATAGCATTCAAGTATCCTAACCTAAAAATAATTACAGCAATAACTCTTGGCAAGAATTAGCAGAGGAAGCCTGATAATTTCTCGAAAATTTTGAAGATAATATTACAAAAAGGAATAAAAACAGATCAAAGATGAATTTTTCAGGCCGATGATTGCCCCCTACTAATACGATCGTCAGAAATAATATACAAAGTCAAATAGAACTCAACGAAAGAGGATAAAAAAACAAAGATCTTATCAATGTCACCAACAAAACTACAAAGAAAAAGTTACACCTAAAAGAAAGGGACAAAAGCATAGAGAAAATTATCAACATGAGATGGGCGATTGGAATCAAGAAAAGACACCTTCATCTTGGCGAACACCTCCACCGGCACAGATCGAAATCCAGCGAACAATAATCCAAAGAACCCGACGATGATCGATTCATCCGCCTACTTCGACCCGCCGGCTCGCGCGGTACGCCTCTCCCTATTTGTTGCCGAAAGAGCGTCGAGGAAAGAAATTTAATCTGACGGTGTTTGCTCCGCCTGCACTCCTCGAATGTCTCCCTAGCGCGTGCTGCGGGCGACACGCGGCCACGTCAAGAATTCCTGAATCGGAATCGTCAATGCTAGATAATTGTGTGTATATATATACATATATATATATATACAAATATATATATATATATACAAATATATAAATATATATACAAATATATAAATATATATACAAATATATATATATATACATATATATATATATATATATTTATTTATTTATTTATAGAAAAAATCCTTAGCCTTGTATATGATGCTCTCATAATGATTTTTTTTACTTTATCAAAAGATCCTTAGTATTGGTCCGATTCAAGTAAATCCTAGCTACATGAGTTGGTTCAATTAAGCATTGGCTAGTCCCTTAAGTTTTCTTAAATTATTTTATATATCCAATCTATTAAAGGATGAAACAAGAAAGTTGTCACTCGTTGTTTTCACTAACATCCTCCTTACGGTGGTGATCAGCCCCAGCCCCGTTCATCATCAAAACCTTAAGGAGCCTCAATAATTAGCAATGCATCGCCATAACCCTATTTAGCATTCCAAAGCCTCGTTGAATCATGGTTCCTCCCTCCCTTTTCATGGTGCATTTATAAGTGATAGGTTTGACCGATAGAAGATTTGGCTATGGTTGTGGCTTGGTTATGGTCGTGGGTTAGCTATAGTTATAGGTTTTGTTAGGATCGAGACACTAAGAAGATGGTGAATTAGTGGTTTTAAAAAGTTGAGTAGATTTCAAAAATTTCGTATGATGAAAGACATATTAAAAATGTGTTTATTTGGAATGTGAGTAAAAGTAGTGACCAACTAAATCAGTAAACAATAAGAATGAAAAGCACAAAAGAAATACATATTGGATTTATAATGGTTCAATCGTTGCTGATAGAAATAATAGAAGATAAGAACAAATATTGAATGAAGCTTTATTGAATAGTTGAAGATGCTTCAATACATTAACATGTTCCCTCTCCTATTTATACAAATTAGGAGGAAGGATTTCCCTAATAGAATAGAGGATTTTCCTCAACAGAATAGAGAAATTTCCTCATATAGTTAGGAAAATCTTATCTTCTATCATGCCCCCGCAAGATGGTACTCCTAACAAGGATACCAATCTTGGATCGATGCAAAGAATTGTTTACAAGCGAGAGGCTTCATGAGTAAAATAAGTGTAGATCGCTGCTGCTGCTGTTGCGATTGTTGTTGCTGTGATGGCACAGGCGTTCCCTTCATTCTCCTTAAGTCTGCCGAATGTTGGCAGATCAGCGAAGACTACCACGGTGAGGAAGATGAGGATTGACCACGGAGCCTCTTAGGAATGCAACGGCGTTGGTCGCTGGCCGAAGGGTGAAGCTTCACTTTTCTCAGCGACGTTGGTCGCTAGCCGAAGGCAAGAGCGAAGCTTCGCTTTTCTCAATGACGTTGGTCGTGGTTACGATTACGACGGCTGCGACTGTAGAGAAGAAATCTACAGCAATGTTGCAATGATGCTACTACAGCAAAGGAGGAAACTACAACATAGGAGGAAGCTGTAGCAGAAGAGGAAGAAAGGTGGGGCAGTGCTGATGAGCAGCACTAGAGATGCCGTAACGGAAGGGAACAGACGTTGGCACAGAGTGGCAATGGAGAAGACAGTTACCGTTCACCTAGGAGGAAAGATTTGTCGCACCAATGATGAATTGGCAGCGAGAAGAGAGCTTGCTCTAGGCAAGCGACTCTGATACCATGATAGAAATAATAGAAGATAAGAACAATAATTGAAGAAGCTTTATTGTAAAAATGAAATAGCTTTAGCTTGAATCTATTAACATGTTCCCTCTCCTATTTATACAGATTAGGAGGAATGATTTCCCTCAACAGAATAAACAGAATAGAGAGATTTCCTCATATAATTGGGGAAATCTTATCCTCTATCAAGTTGGGGAAATCTTATCTTCTATCATGCCCCCGCAAGATGGTGCTCCTAACAAGGATACCAATCTTGGATCGATGCAAAGAATGGTTTAAAACAAGAGACTTCGTGAGTAGGGCAAGAGCAGATCACTATTGCTGTTGCGATTGTTGTTGCTGTGAGGGCATAGGCGTTCCCTTCGTTCTCCTTACATCCGCCCTTCGTTCTCCTTAAGTCCGTCGACTGTTGGCAGATCAGCGAAGACTACCGCGGTGAGGAAGATGAGGATTTGCCATGAAGCCTCTCAGGAATGTGGCTGCAGCGGCGTTGGTCGCTGGCCGAAGACAAGGGCGAAGCTTCGCTTTTCTCAGCGGCGTTGGTCGCTGGCCAAAGGCAAGAGCGAAGCTTCGCTTTTCTCACTGCTCTGATACCATGATAGAAA